TGGAGCTCTTGACGGTCAAATTGCTTCTACAGGCGTCTCTGGAGGCCCGCATTGCAGACCTAAGGCCATTCCAGTCGGGCTTTGAGGATCGGAATCTGTGAAGCCCGGAGATTTAACTAAACTCAGGGATGTGTCTGAATTTCATGTGACATGCAGGTGTGCAGCTCTGAGAACTCCCTGAATACAAGTACTGGTGAAGTTGCCTCATCATAAAGTGCCCTAAACGGAGAGCGATTGCGGATACCATCGTCATCATAATCGCCAAATTTAATCCTTGGCATATTTCAAAAGGGAAGAGCGGCACCAAGGATCCAAACCTCCTCAAGAGGCTTCAGCGTTCAAGACTGGAGGACCTAAGTCATGGACAAGGGATGGAAATCTAAGTTTACCAGGAGTCTAAATTTTCTTTAGGAGTGTCAAATGTGTTTTCTAAGGAATTTTAGAGTCGTATGATTTTTTTTTTTTTTTTTAACCAAAGAACTAATCTAGCTAGCCTCACCCTCCTCTTCAGAAGTCCATTCCGGAGGTACAATGTTACTGAAGGACTCCCAAAATATCTAGTTGTTCAAAGGGTTGGGAGAGAAAGAGGAGGAAGAAGAAAACTTGCAAAAGGTTATTGGGTTTTAGGTACAATGGGAGAGAAAAAAAAAAGTTAAGAGTTCTGTCCAACAGGTTGTGTGTGTGCGTGCTCATAATTTCCACCTAAGTAGCCACCAGGATGGCTGAACTGTCCTTTGATTCCTGACATCAAAAAGGGTTCTCATTATCAATCAGAATTAATTTTGCTTCTTTTAAAACTGACTCATCCACTGGGGTTCTGGAAAAATAACAACGGGAAAAGAATAAAACTTGCCACGCTTCAAGGACATTGCCTTTTTTGATACCCACGGGAGTGCTAGCAGGCAGGGTGTGAGCGAACACAAAGCAGTTTGATCAAGAAAAGAGGTAAAGGAGGGCAGAGAAGTGGTCAGCTGTGCCAGAGAAAGTTCCAGACAAGATGGGGAAGACTTTCATACACTAGCCTGTCCACCCTGTGGCAGTCAAAGCCAGGACAGTGGCTGGACCACTGTTTGCGGCTCTAGAATGGAAAAGGGCAGTGCTCAATGTGGGAGAGTGCTGGGGATTTGAGAGCAAGGAAAAGGTCCAGGATCCTCCCCAAAGTCTTTGAGGATCTTTAGAGCGAAGAGGCAATAGTAGAGTAGGATCCCTGCGGCAATTCCCAAGGTGGGTTTGCTCAATGTCCCACCGCAGGGCAGCGTCAGGCGGGCGTCACCCGCGCTGTCCGCGCTGCAGAGCGGGCTTGGGGCACAGGGTGGCGCTCGCTGTCCGCGCAGCAGGCAAGAGTGGCGTGGCGCCTTTGTGTGTGCTGGGCGCGGCGCTGGGCGCCCCCCTCCCCCACTGCGTCGGGGAGACCCCTGACGGCCACCCCACCCTCCACCGCCCCACCCTCCCGCCGCGACCTAAAGTCGGATGGTGCTTGGGACATTGTGGGAAACCTTCCCGGCTATTCTGGGATCTAAGAGCACCTGACACGTGGAGGAGGGAAAAGACGAAAGCAGGAGATATATAGAGTTTAGAAAGGCTGGGAAATTCTCTCGTGCTCAAAGCATCCCTTTTAGTTTGTTTTAAAAGAAAAACTTTGGGAACTCCGACCTCCCTAAAAGGACTCCAGTATAGCTGAGAACACCTTCAAAGTTCCCGGCCGCGCAGCAAATGATTGGGCGAGAGCAAAATTGGGGAGTGGGCATAAAATAATCCCCTGAAGATGAACTTTAAAGAATGGCTTCGGAACAATGGTGAAAAGGGGCAGCTATGAGAGGGCGTTTTATTCTTGGCTGTAAGTGACCCTGAGCCCTCCTGGCAGTCCCTAGAACTCTTAGAACCCTGTCAGTCGTTAGGAACTAAAGCATAATGTATAACGATGCGATGCTTCCTACCCGCCAGGAGACTAGACAGAAAATTAAATTAAACGCGTGCCCAGGGACCAAAGAAAACACACACACACACCTCTTGCTATAGCAAATGAACGCGGAGTGCAGCGAACCTAGATGTTCAGTGATGCGCATCCCCTGAAGCAACTCAGCCCTGGATAGTACTGGCTAGTACAGCGTTCACTTAATCCGGAAGCAAGGAACAGACAGGGCATAGGCAAACTCGGAATCTTATTTTTTTACCAACAGCAGCAACTGTATTTGAAACAAAATCTTCAAAAGATACCACCCAGAGACTTAAAAATGATTACAGCATTTAGTCTGCACTTCACTGCTTTTGATTCTTTTCTTGTTTCTTCAAATACAGTATTAGTGTTAATCTGCTGGGCCATTACCAAGGAAGAAAGTTATGCAGACAAATGTAGAAATCATAATTTTAAAAGAAAGATGTTGATAATACTGGGTTGCTTCATAGGGGAGGAAAGAGAAATAATAATGCCTATTTGGACAGGATCAGCAAAAATCAGTAGGAAAATTTAAAACTAAGTTAATTCTTAATGTCTGTGTCAAATCAATCTCCCTTAGATGTTATTTGTATGAAAAAAATGAACAAAATGTACAATACTTTTCATTATGCTATTGATCTCTACCATTTAAAGGTAACCAAAGAATAATTATATCCCACTTTTTTCCTTCTTCAATTCCTGACTTAATTTCCTTGCTAATAAATCATCTGACCTTTGAGCTAATCCTAGGCACACAAAATAAATTAATAAATATTTTCAAGAAATTCCTTCACAGGCTTTCTGTAACATTCCATTCAATAATCTCACCAAAGATCCACAGGGGAGGTGAAAACGTTGATGGCAGGATTATGGGTCTGCTCAGTCAGGAATCTAGCCCCATCACCAATTTGTCTTTAATTTTTTATTTCAGCATTTTGTACCCTGGAGAAACCCCTTGAGAATTTGTACATTTGGGATAAGAGTAGGATGGAAAGAAGGCAAACTCCTCCAGAATGTTTCCCAGTATTAACAGATACCAGCAAAATAAATTATCGCATGTATTTTAAGTTTCTAGCATAAAATATTTTTGTTGGTAGTCCAACCTCAACAAAACGCAATCACAATTCAAAGTGAAAGAGATCATCCAAAAAGAGAGAGAAATAGAGGAGGGAGCCAGCAAAAGAGAAAGGCTAGGGAAGGTACATGGCAGTTTAGGGACACTAGATTGAGACAGGTCAACTAGAAAAGCTGAGTGCAGCCCACATGTCTGAAGTCTTTTTCAGGTCTCTTGAGGGTGAACTGATATAAACTGGCCTGACCTCTGGGTCAACAACTAGTTTAACTCTACCTTGATCTGCAAGACTGGAAGCTTGTCTCTAGGTTCAAAGTGAGACCCAGCCTCTGGCTTCATTGGAGTGAGCTTCCAGTCACAGTTAAGATTAACCATAAGAATCACCGACAAAGCAGGGAGAAGTCAGTTTTGTACTTCATCTTCTGTCCTCCCAAAAGAGAATGCTCATTCCCAAAAGAGGAACCCTACCCACCCTGCAGAAAACTAATCTAGAAATAGTGTTCAGTAATGATCCAAACAAACTAAAGTTAAAACTGGAAGGGGAGGAGCAGAGGGAAGAAAGTGAAAGTTTGTACATCTTTATAAATAGAATAATTTTGTCCCCCCTTCAACCACCTGGAAAACATCTTTTTCCAGACAATATCTCTCCTTGTCATCACCCACTTCTTAAATCAAGTGTCCATTCTATAACAACTGATATTACAAATGCACCAAGCAGCTTTTTTCTTACCTGCCACTACATTTTAACTCCTTCAGAACCGTTTTCTCCGAATCCCTCAGCACTGCAACTTTCAATAAAAAAGAAACAACACTTAAACTGTGTTCTGCGTGTTATTCCTAGGAAGAAAGTAACAGAAAGAGACTATTTTACTTTTCAAACCATCATTTAGAACTACAGTATACCAAAGAATCAGATCTAACAAGGATTGGAGGCCACAGGAATCCATATAGTATGTGCCACTTGGGCACATACTAAATTAGTCTAAACATATTTTATTCTTTGTAAGGTTTTTTTAAAATTTATAATAGTCATAGCACTCTGTATTTTCACATGTTTACATAGTTAGTAATGACTTTATATAAATTTCAGTGGAAAATTTTCAGTTCAAGATGCATACCCAGACTGTATTTGGGGTAGAGGGAATGCAAACAGAAAGAAAGAAGCTGAACTTAAATGAATCTGAACACACTAACTTTTTTATTCAATTTGATTTAAAATAATATTATTAATCTAACTGTGAAATAGTTTGATATAACATCAATCAACATTTAAAGTATTTTATGTTTCAAAGTATGGCTCAAGCAACACCCATTGCTTAAATGCACTTAGACAAAACAAGACAATATTTTTTTAGTGGCATCATTGACACCTATGAACAATAGCCTAGTAAATAGATTAAGGTTTAACCTTTTTTTCTTTGGTGGTTGTTTAGAGACTTTAAAGGAACAGATAACTCATTTCAACAGGAATCTACTACTGATATTTACCTCTTAGCTAAGACATGGAATGCCAAAAACAAGCTTTTGTTAGCTTGACCTCTTCCACCTCCTAATAACAAAAGTTATCCCCAAAGCATGTTTTTATTTTAGAAGTATTGATCTTCTAATGTAAGGCTTGGCCTTTTAAATACTAAATGCAATCAGTGGCCAACTCGGAACTCATTTTGGAGAGTGAGAAGGAAGCAGAACAGGGAAATTTCATTACATTATTTGGTGACTCAATACAAATTTTAAGAGGTCAGTAAATGCTGATGCTATGAACTAAAATCTACTGGTAAATAATTAATTACATTTTTTAGACACATAATCTTTATCTTAGCAAATAGAGAACACAGCTTAGCCAAACAGGTCTTTCCATTTAAGTATTATTATCTCATAGGCATTTAAATATTACCACAAAAACAGTGTTATATTCTGCTTAAATTAGACATTTAACTGAAGATAAAATGTAAATTTCTATAGTTAAAAAAGGGAAAAATAAAACAAATTAACTGGCCTAGTCTTTTATCTCAGTTTATTAATACTATTTAGAATATTACAAATAAATCAATTACATTTCATGCATTTAAAATGCAAGTCTAAAATGTTCCAGAGAAAGGCTTTTCATTTCAATGTGAAATATCCAAATTATTTCAACATTACAATGAACAATTAGTTTGCAGAATCTGCAAACATCTAAATGTAGTGTCAGGAGTGTTTATAACAATTAACACTATTACCTTCAGGAAATACACAAAGGCCAAAGTTAGTTAAGTTTCACTTGGACAATTTATTTAATACATGGGTTTTGGCAGACCCAGTTATGAAATATAGGAGAACTCTCACTTTAACTATGCCTGAACTGCCAGCAAATGCAAATAAGTACATGCTCCATTAAATTAAGTGTCATCCAACATTTATCAAATATTGTCTTAGTTACAGCTTGATACCTATCTAAAGTCATATTCGAGCAAAACTAGGCCCTGAAAGTGCGTTTGTGGCTCTGCACCTCCAGAAGTGAGTTCGAAAATCCTGCAGCTCATCAGAACTGCAACAATAACTCTTAATATTTTTCTTGTGACAAAAAAAAAAAATCAAGCTTCAATATATTTTCAAATATTTACTGGAAGTAATGTACAAGAAAAAATACTATACAAAATCGTCTCCCGGACAACTGCACCTCGCACCCTTACACCGGTGGAGTTATATAATTAATCGGTAACTAATCTAGAACGATTCTCCAGTTGTACAAACCATTAGGTTTAGATATATTTTACAAAGGTTTTTTTTTTTTTCTTTCCTATTTTCCCTCTTTTGGCATTTAAACTACAGCCTCGTCTGAAATAAAATAGCTTCTTCACTTGTTTTATAAGTTTAAATCACAAAAAAAAAAAAAAAAGATTAACCGTAAAAATCTTCAGTGAATTGCAAGAATTTGCAGAAATGGGTACTATACAAATGGACGGCTGGACGAACAAAACAGATTGGGAGATTAAGCTCTGAAGGGGTGAAAAAACGAGGTAGAAAAGGACAAACATGGTGATAGTTAATCTGGTCTCACCGGAAAGGGGCATTTTTGCATAAGAAAAAGACACCGACCCTCACCCCCGCCCCCACCCCATAAGTTAAGTTAATGCGATCAAAATAACTTTGGGATCAATATTAGCACAGTTTCAAGAGAAAGACTTGCTCACTGCTAGAGGCAAAACTATCTAGAAAGGAAACCAAGTGGAAAAGTTTCTTAGTTGTTCTTTTTTAGATTAAAAAAAAAAATGCTATAAAGATGAAAGAAAACTGCTACAACTATTCGCCAAGACTGCCCTTTGCTAAAACTTGCCTCGGTTCCACCTCAGGGAACAAAGAAAAAGAGGCAGAGCTGACGTTGGGAGGGCTAAAACTCTGCACACTCATGGGTTTCGGTGCGGATGGTTGCCCTATGGAGCTCAAACGACACCAAGTTGGGCGGACAGCGGCGCGCAGTGTCCAGGCAGGGCTCTCCGAAGCCAGGTACCCAGAACTTCGTTTCTGTACCCCAGCCGTTAGTTTCCGGGCGAAAAAGCCGTGATTCGGCCTCCTGCCTCCCTCTCCCCAAGGCTCAACCTGGTTCCCGCCCCAATGAAGACCCGCAGTCTTCCAGGCACTGGATGTGTCCAGCTCTAGCTCCGCTGCCTCTGAAACGTATGCCGGTCACAATTTGTGGAAGGAGGAGGGAAGACGAGGAGAGATGAACAAGAACTACCAGGACTGCGAGGCGCTGATTTGAGCATTTCGGGGCTCGGGTACAGTTATCCAGTGTAAAGAGAAAGGCAGGGACCCGGACAACAGCGCATGTTACTTACATGTCCATATTCCCTTTACAAAGTTACATACATGGGGAGGATAGAGAGAGAAAGAGAGCGCAAGGGACAGTAAAGAGGCTGGAATTGAGGCCAGGGCAGAAGGGACCTAAGCGGAGTGGGAGGGGGTCTGAGAGAGGGGCGGGCGGGGGATGCGCGTCACTCTAAGCCGTTGCGGTGCCCGGGCTCTGGGGGCTGCAGCAGCTCTGGGGAGTGGCAAGGCGGGCTGCCCGCGGCGCTGTGCTCGCTGTCGGTGTCGCTGCCCTTCTTGCCGCCGCTGCCCGAGCCAGCAGAGCCGCCGCCGCCGCCGCCGCTGTGCGTCTTCACGTGCTTGCTAAGGTGATCGCTGCGCATGAAGCGTTTGTTGCACACCGGACAGGCGAAGCGCTTCTCGCCAGTGTGGGTCCGCAGGTGCCGCTGCAACTCGTCTGAGCGCGTGAAGCGCTTACCGCAGAAGAGCCAGTTGCACACAAAAGGCCGCTCGCCCGTGTGCCAGCGTAGGTGCGCCTTGAGGTGCGACGTCTTGCCATACACCTTGCCGCAGCCCGGGATGTGGCAGCTGTGCAAGCCCTTGCGTCGCAGGCTTGCCCCAGCCGGGCCCAGCCTCTCAGCCTCCTGGCAGTTGGGGCAGTCGCAGGTGGCTCGACCCGAGTAGCGACGCGCCGAGGAGCGGGGGGAGCCCCCCAGAGGTGCCGAGGGCCCAGCGCTCAGCATAGAACCCCCGGCACCGGCCAGCGGCGACGGGGCCGAATCCGGGTAAGAGCCAGGCAGCACCGGCTTGAAGCCGTCCATGAGGTGTTGCCCGGCGGGGCTGAGCAAGTGCGAGGAGGCACCGCTGCTGAAGGCCGAGTGGCTCAGGCCTGAGTAATCCGAGTTGTAGCCTCCGAGCGGCGAATGCAGCGAGGTTTGGAGCCCCCCGGCGGCAGGGTGCAGCGAGCCGGGGAGCGCCGCTGCGCTGTTCGGGTTCTGCACGTCGATCCAGCCCGCGCCCACGTCCCACCAACTGGAGGCACCCGCCGAGCCCACGTCGCCCGCGGCGCCCAGGCCGGGATGCGAGGGCTTGAACCACGATTCGTATGGATGCGCCATACCCACGCGCGGGTAGATACCCTGCAGCCCGTCCACCGAGGTGTGCACCTTGGAGATGAACACCGGCTGGTGGGTGCCGTCCTGCGAGTGAGCAGAGGAGCCCCCGCCGCCCCCGCCGCCCCCGCCGCCGCTGCCCCCGGACACTCCGGGCGCCTGGAACACCGAGTAGTCGTTAGCGAAAGGCGAGCTGGATGCGGCGGCGGCTGCAGCAGCCGCGGCGGCGGCGGCGCTGCTGGAGGTGAGGGAGAAGGCGCTAGAGCCTGGCGAGCCGCCGCAGCTGAATGAGTCGGACACCAGGGCCGCGGCCGCTGCTGCCGCCGCTGCGGCTGCCGCAGCCGCCGAAGACGAGCCGCCGTTCCTGGAGGTCCCCGACACGCCGAAACTGGAGAGACTGGAGCCCACCACGTTGCAACTGCCGGAGGAGGAAGAAGAGGAGCGTTTCCAGGGGTGAAAGCCTTTGCCGAAGGAAGAAGAGCTGTCTGAGAGGGAAGAGGGAGACGGGCTGGGACTGCCAATCTTATTGCAGGTAGCAGCGAGCATGGCCAGAGGAGTCGATCCCAACCTCGGTTCTTCCTGCGAGAAGGAGGAGAGGAGAAGGGGTGGGGGAGGGGAGGTGGGCAAGGGGCCGAGGGGGGAGGGAGGAGAAATGTGTATCAGTCCTCTGCTAGCCTTCCACACGCCCCCATTATACCCCATCTCTGGCTGCGGCGCGCCGCCACCAACTCACCTGGCACCCTCAATAGCCCCGGCGCCCAGCTGCTTCCTACTCTACAGGAGGAAGCAAGTTTGGCTGCCGGCGTCTGATTCCGGAGCAAAGCGCCGAGCTAAGAAGAGTTTGACAAGTATTCTCACCTAAAACACTCTCGTGCACATAAGGCCCCAGACACTTCGAAACAAACAAACACGCAAAAAAGTCCAGAATGGGGAGGAAGTTTCCTTTGCCGAGAAGCCTGGGAAAAGACCATCGGATTGCTTTTAAAAGCGCGTCCCCGGTAATCCAGAGCGAGTTTTGAAAATCTTGTTCCGGTCCCCAGAAACCCATCCTGGCTAGTTTCTCCCAGACCAAAAAAAGGTCGAAGTATAAAAGCTCTCTCGCTTTTCCTGCTTTCCTTTTCACTTTTTTTTTTTTTTTTTTTAAGAGGGGGGGGCATAGCTACGATAGTATAAACTAGACGAACTCAACGTACCTGCAAGACCAGGCGAGCTGCGGAATTTTTAAGGGGAAAAGGGAGAATCTGCAGTTTGCCCGGGAAGAAAAACTTGCTCTCTTTACTCCCAAATTCGTCGCAAGTAAAATAGGCTGGGCGCACGTCTCCCGGCCAGAGAGCGCCCGGGCGCTGCAAAGTGGCTTGTCTAAATGCCCTTCGAACCTTTTCCTTCGCTGAAAAAAGTGACTCTGCCCCCCTCTCCCCCTCTTTCTTTTCTCCAAACTCACTTGTATTTAAAGACAAGGGAGAGAAAAAAAAAAAAAAAAAAAAGCTCTCAATAGAGACTGGTAGCCCGTGGCCTGGCCGGGGCGACTTTAACCCCCTCGGATCGGCAATAAAAGGAAACTCATTAAACCAGCAAGAGAAAATCCTGAGACTCACCCCTAGAAGTGAAGTTGCCATCACACAAAAGTGCCCTCCTCCTCTCAGAGGATCTTTTTTATATTGATAAATCAGAGGCAGTGTTTTTTTTAGAGGTGTGCAATACAATGATCAGTTCCGCCCATTCCACCACAATTGTAGCTCCCTCTCCGGCTTTGAAGTGCCGCGGAGGCGCGGCCAGCCAATCTGCGGCCTCGCCGGGCAGCGCCGCGCGCGCGCCGTGAGGTCATCGGCGCCGCTGTCGGCCACCGGAGGGAGGGGGAAGCGGTAGCGGGAGGGGAGGGTGCGACTGTGTATTACAAAGCATTGTGAGTGTGTGTGTGACAAATGCAATTGTGAGCCTCAGTGACCGAGCTTGGGAGAAGAAAGAGATGGGGGGGGGGGGGAGAGAAGGTGAGTGTGACTGTGTGGGGAACATTGCAGAGAACGATGAGCGACAGTTGTGTGGACAGAGTAGTAAAGCGAGGACGGGAAGGGTGTGAGTGTACCATACATAGTGTAACTGCGTGACAAACCTGGGAGGATATAGAGGCGAAAGCGCAGGAAAGTGGCGAGAAGAGAGGAGTGTGTGTTTCGTCTTGGGATGAAGTGTGAATGTGAGACAGAAAAATAGGTGCATGAGTGTGTGCGCTTGGTGGAGAGAGCAAGGGTGTGCTTGTGTGTATTTGTGTGAGAAGAGGGAGAGTATGCGCGCTTGTATGTGTTTGTGTGTATGCGCGCACATACAGACACTCGTGCAACAAAGCTGGCGAATAGGAGCCATGAAATTTGAAGAGTGAAACTGAAGTTGAGCTAGGCTGAATAAATAAATATTCCAAAATGCTAGCACCGTCGCCAGCTTCCTCTGGCTCCTTGTAACTAAAGTCTCGAATGATTTCTTCTTTTTCTTCTTAATTTATTGGGCACTGTCCTTCCATTTTTTAAACAGAGCTGGTAGAAAGGTTGGGAATCTTAAGGGGGGAATTTTAGGTGTGCGTTGGGGCACGTGTGCGCCTGCGCCCACGAGTAGTTACTTCGACGCAGAGACATTTTTTCCCCTTGAGGTTGGATTCGGTTCTGGAAGCGCAAATCTCACTCACTGTAGAAGATCGGGTGTGTCAGTTCTGTGGCGTTAAGTAAATTTCGATGTAAAGGGATCACAAGAAAGCACTGTTTTTGGTGAGAAATTAAAGAACAGTTTATGAAATTTAGAAGTTTTCACAGGAAACTGCCTCTTTCTGCGGAAAAAAAATAGGAATTTGAAATCGGCGACATCTAGTTATCAGAGACTCAAGGCAATCGTTAGACTCATTTAAGACCACACTTACATAGGCATCTGTGTCTAATGGCATTTCGGCCAGAGATCCATGAGTGTGTGTACATAGTAATACACTCTGTTCAAATTCGGTAGGTTTGAGACACTTCCATGCCATTTGAGTTATTATTTATTTTCAGAAATGTCATTACAATTTTACTACCACCACAAGGGAACATCCTCAGCAGCAATAAACACCACACCAGTGTAGCAAAAAGTCCAGAGACCTTGGAGCCCTGTTGAACATTCATGTTTTAAGACAGTAATTCATATTTTTAGTTAGTTACAAATGCTCCCAGAAGTCCAATTTTAAGGTGGAATTGGTTAAATGTGACTAGTGGAGAGATTGTTTTGTCTTGAGTAAGGAAACATATCTCTTTTTTTAAATTGTTGTATTTGAATCCTCAAGTGCATCACAGTTGTAAAAAACTCCCCCTAGGGTTTACTGAACTCCAAAGTCAGATTGTATCATTTGTGTAAGTTTCATTATGCAGAGTTGAGACTGATGTTTGTGGTATGAGAGTGTTTCTGATCCCGTTTTAACGTGTTGGAATATTGACTGAACATCAAATCTATTGATTAAGGGGATAAGGTACACACTCTCATACTTTCAAGTAAGTGTGAAGTAAATTAATGAACTGCTTTCTTTCTCTGAAGGCTGACGCTTACCATAAATGTCGTGTTTCTCCCTGCAAGTCGCTCTGAATGATTTTAGCGTGTTGAGAAGGCGTGACAGGCCAGCCCAGAAGGAGGAAGGGGTGGGGGAAGGAGGGAACTCTGTTTAACAAATAAAAGAGAATTAACTTCATTGCTTTGGTCTCCTTCTATAATGATATTCATTTTAAGGACCTAATGCACAGTTGTTCAAATTTGGGGTTTAATTCTAATCAATATCATCACACTCAAAGGTGGAGGAGAAAAGCTTTGAGGGAAAATTTCCTTCTATGAATAGTTATTTATTTTATCTTTTTATCTTCCTATCTTCTGGAAGGATGTGAGACAAGACTTTTAAAAAGTTAAATGCTGATTCTGAGAGTAAACAGAGGCATTAATTGCAGTTTCCTTAAAAATGCCAGGAATTAGAAAAAGCCATCATCATGTGATTGCAATTTTGAGCTACCTAATTCTAACGTTTTTCATTTTTGTAAGTTCACACTAGAATTGTATGTAATTCCTTCTATGACAAGGGATCACAATGATGGTCTCCAATTTGCATAAGATTGGTTTGTAGAATTTGGGGATTTTCATATAGATTTATATGTTCTGTTTTCTTTGATAGATTTTTAAAAAACATTTATCGTCCACTTACTCTTGTTTAAAAAAAAATGAGGTGTTTATTTCATAACAGTTTTGGACAAAGAACATTTTTTTTCTATTTCCTTCTCAACTTCAAAAAAGAGAAGTGTTTGATGCTTGTATCATAAGGCACATGCAGAAGAGTTAAAAAAAAAAAAAGAGAAAGAATTATGTAATTGAACAAAAATTAAAACAGTGATGTCTTGCTTCTAGTTTCAATTAAACTAGTGTTGACTTGATGGCAGCTTTCTCCATTTGAAAGTCATAACTAGAGACTCGATCATTTTTGAATGACCCATAGGAGAAAACATATGTAATCCATTGTAGATACAGCCTGCCCAGCAAAGCATTGCAAAATGAATAAAGTTGAATTTACCTTTGGTGATATTGATCTTTACTCTTGAGTGTTATATTGTGATAATTTAAAGGTTTAGAAAGGTAGAGGTAAGAAGAGATAAGAGATACAGGCTTTGTAACATTAATTAAAAGTTTCCCCCACCCTGTAGGAAGTTTGGTGGGCTGGCAGGGGGAGGGGTAGATGGATGTTCTGCTGTTTCTTGCAAACCTGTGGGATCCACTTTCAATAAAGCTAAAATCTATTAGCATTCTGTATGCATCCACAGCATAAATTTCATTTGAATTTCAAATTTAATAAACCAGGAGGTTTTTAATCATCCCTGGTTTTATTTGTTTGATATTAACATGCTTATTGACCGGGTCTGGTGACCAGTTTGATCATTACAGGACAGCAAAAAGTTAATTAAAACGACCACAGCCCCTTAATCATATCATCTGTCTCATCCATGTCGCTCTCTTTATTACCAGTGATGATGGATAGTCTCCCAGATTAATTTCTCTGTTTCTTCGATTTGGACAACAGCTTTTGGGACCTAATTTACATCCTGGGAACAACTTGCTCAAGTATATCTAACACCTTGCAGCTACAATATACATCAACATCTCCTTAGATGGAGAAAAGGGGAGTTTTTCTTTCTTTCTTTTTTTTTTTTTTTTTTTTTTTTTTCAACA